ATATACACACGACCCTTATCTTCAGGAGAACTCACTTCGAAGGGCAGCCTACAATCTCTAAAACCCACCCCTGACTTCTCGCACCCGTCGGCGGCCTCGCACAACGACCAGGCCCCCCGGCATTCGAGATACCGACACACCCCAGAAAAATGACACGCTTCCGCTGGGGGGCTTCGTGGCCCCCGGGTACCCCCTTCAGCTGCAGCCCTGCACCGCCTTCGTGCCGGTCTACCCTGTGGGCGCGGTGAGTGCGGCGACCGGGGCCTGGGAGCGGGGAGGGCGCGATGGGGACACCCTGGGCGCTGGTGGGATGGGGAAACCGGGCCAGGCGACCTGCGGCCTAGGGTAAGGCCTGTAGAGGCAGGGGAGGAGGGGGCTAGGGAGAGGCCTGCGGGGAGGGGGTCTGGCAGCCAGTGAGGTCAGAGACCATGGCCTGGGAGGGGGAACAGAACAGCGGAGGGAGCAGAAACCTGCGACTGAGTGAGCGGGGAGGCCAGGTAGGGATCTGGAGGGAAGAAACAAGGTTTGAAGTGAGGCGGGGCAGCGCCGGAGGGGCATGCCTTGGGGGAGGGAAGTTGGAGAACCCCGAGGATATGGGGTTACCCCGAGGATATGGGGTTAATGGCAACCATGGAGGGAGGAGCGGGCCTCGGTGGAATGTATGGGTGTTCTGGAAGCAACGTGAAGAATTGTGCTTTAAGAATCAGTCTTCCAAAAGCGGACCATTGTGGGGCCCAGAGGGTCCGCATGACGCCGTCCCCCTTCCTTACACAGCCCTATGCAGGCGGGACCCCGGGGGGCGCGGGAGTCCCCTCCACGCTGCCCGCGCCGCCGCAGGGCCCGGGGCTGGCCCTGCTGGAGCCCAGGCGCCCGCCGCACGACTACATGCCCATCGCAGTGCTGACCACCATCTGCTGCTTCTGGCCCACGGGCATCATCGCTATTTTCAAGGCGGTGCAGGTGTGTATGGGGCGTTTGGAGAGGAGGCTCACTCGGCTTCTCATCCCCAGGAGCCGGGCGTCGGGGAGCAACCTGGAGGGGGGCTGCGGCCTGCGCGCGGGCGGGCGGCTGTTCTCTGACCCGCTTCCCCGCCGCCGCCCGCAGGTGCGCACGGCCCTGGCGCGCGGAGACATGGTGTCGGCGGAGATCGCCTCGCGCGAGGCGCGGAACTTCTCCTTCATCTCCCTGGCGGTGGGCATCGCGGCCATGGTGCTCTGCACCATCCTCACCGTGGTCATCATCATCGCCGCGCAGCACCACGAGAACTACTGGGACCCGTGAGGACGCCCCCGGCCCGGCGCCGCCCTGCGCCCCTCCACCTCAGTGCGGCCTGCGCTCCCGCCGCGGACCCCCGGGGCGCCCTGCACACCCGCCCCCGGGGCTGCCGGACTGGGATGCGCCCTAAGCTCGGCCTCCGCGGAAGCCCTCGCGGTGCGGGCACGCTCCGAATCCAGTTCCTCAGGAACCGCGCCGAAGCCCACACTCCCAAGGACGCCGCGTCCCTGGGTCCCAGCCAAACACCAGGCCCCAGGCGCCCCAGACTCCCCTCCCCCCTAAAAGCAGCGCCCCGGGGGAAGCTGCGGGAGGGTCCTTCGCGGAGCCGGGAGCCTGGTCCCGCAAGCCCCGCCTCCTCCATAGGCTCCGCCCCGGCTCTGAAAAACCCCGCCTCCAGGTCGGCAGGCTCCGCCTTCTTCTCTTCCTCGCGGGGTGCTTCGGGCCGGCGATTGGGTTTGGGGCACCGGGCCTCACCCCCAGACCGACAGACTCCTCCCGTTCTCGCGGCGTGAGGACCCAGCCGCGGCGCAGCCACGGCTCCCGCGCGCTCCCGTTTTTGCCGGCGGTTTCTTGTCTCCTCCACCCCGTCTCCGCCGAGTTTCTTGCTAATCCCAGAACCTCTATTTTTGTTTTGTTATGTTTCTTGAGATGGAGTTTGGGAGGCTCCCAGTTTAGGACCCTTCCCTCTGGGAAGAAGATACCGTGCCGGTCCCTGTAAATATTCCCGAGCAGCCGGGCGAAGGGAACCCAGGCTGCGGGCCTGCCGGTGTCCGGAGGGAGCCCGCTCCCGCTCCCCGGCAGCCCCGCCTTGTTCTGATCTGTGTGTGAGTGTGTGTGTGAATTTCTGAAAGCCAATATTAAAGAGTCTAAGCGGATTTATCACCCGGAATTCCGATGACTAGCAGAGACCCTGCTCTTTGGGTCCCCCCTTTCATCTCTCCCCGTTTCCCCTTGGGGTGTGGTGGGGAAGGAGACTGACAGGTCTCAGGACACCAGAGAGACACGCACACGCAGGGGGGAGGATCCCTGGGATCCTGCCCGGGAAGACCTTGGGGTCCATTCTCGGGGAGGATTTCTCTCCGCAGCACATCTTTCCACTCCCTCCCCACTGGGCTTCAGGCTGTGGAGAGGGAGAGGTACAAGGAGACCCAGGGCTCTCTCCCCAGAACCCCAGAAAGTCAGAAGGGAAGGAGAGGGCAGACCATTCTGAAGAAGTTGGCCAGAGGTCGGGTGGCAGGGGCAGAGAAAAGGTGCCAGCTGCCCGCAGGTGTTCCTGCCTGCGGCTGGAGGGTGGCAGACAACTTGAATTAGAGCCCTAAGTGGTGTGTTGTACCAGCACAGGGAAGGCAGAGGGAAAGGGCTGCGGAAACCTGTCTCAGTCTTTTCCAGCTGCTCTCACTAAATGCCAGAGGCCGGGTGCTCATAAACAACAGAATTTATTTCTCAGGTCCTGGTGGCTGGAAGTCTGAGATCAGAGCGCCAAGAGCCCGTGAGGGCTCTCTGTGGATTGCAGACTTCCCATTGCATGCTCAAGCGGCAGAAGGGGCGAGGGCACACCCCATTCATGAAGGCTCCGCCCTGGGGACCTATCACCTCCCAAATCTGCACATTAGGATTTTAACATGAAGTTTGCAAGGAACATAGTCAAGCTACAGCAGGGTCCCAGGGAGGAGGTCAGTAGCCTCTCAGACCCAAGTGGGGCTTGTGGTCCTTTCCTACCCTGAGGTCAGCCAGGGGCCTCTTGGGGAGGGGAAGGGGCACAAGCAGTGGACTCGGTCTCTTCAGTTGGATGCCTGCAGGACATGACCCTACCCTGACTCCATGCATTCATACAACATGCAGATACCACACAGGGTGCTGGCGAGACATTTGCCGACCTCGTGGAGTTTACCTAGGAGGAAAGCCATGCACCGGGATGAGACATGGGAGGAGGGTGTGGAAATTACGGGGAACATTTTTTTAGACATTTCGGGTTGAATGTGCCTTCCTCATCAAACTTCTTTAAAAAATTTTTAATTGATTATTTTAGAGAGAGAGGAAGGGAGAGGGAGAGAAACATTGACGTTAGAGAGAAGCATCAATTGGTTAAGTCCTGCATATGAACCTGCAGCCTGGGTATGTGCCCTGGCCGGGGATCTAACCGGGGGCCTTTCGGTGCACCTGCACCGGTAGACTCTCAACCAACTGAGCCAGCGGAGCCACTCTGGCCAGGGCCTCACCAAACTCCTTGAAAAAAGAATCCACATTTGCAACCTTCACTTCCTTACCACTTACTCATTTGTACCCCTTTCAGTCTCAAGCCTGAGAAAGGGAACATGGTTGTCACAGATGTGTCTGTCTGTCTTTCTTTCATGCCCACTGTTTCTTAGCCCTTTAAAATCTGCTTCCACTCCCTACTTTACTGAAACTGCTCCCTCAAATAGTACCCAATGACCAGAAGTTACCAGGAGCCAAAATCAATGGCATTTTCCTGAACCATCCCATGTTTGTTCCTTGACCCTGGATTCCTCACTCACCCAGGCAGGGTTCAGGGACAAGTCATCTCTCCCCGTTTTACCTCCAGACACACCTCTAATCATCTTCCTACCACTCTTTTTCCTCCTCCCTTCCCCTAAGTGCCTATTCTGGATTTTCCCCCCCTTCTTTGAGACCTTCCCTTGAAAATCTCATTCACGCCAAACTCTCAATCATTTCTTTCTTTTTTTCCAAATTATAAGAGAAAGTTTATTTAGAAAGTCATAGAGGTAGAAGTGACTCATAGAAGAAATGTGCTCAGGAAAAAGGTTACAGAACCAAAAGAAGGTCCCTTGGAGCTCGGGAGAGGAAAAAGTGAAGGTAAGGTTCCTGGGGGCAAGAAGAGGGGGAAGGGAAAGGTGTGGTGTGCTTCCCAGAGGAAGAGCTGCCCACAAGTAATTTCTAATGTTTCTCTGCTATAGACTGAATGTTTGTGTTCCCCCCAAATTCATGTTGAAACTTGATCCCCAATGTGATGATGGGACCTTTGGGGGGTGCTTAGGAGGGACTGCTATGAATGGGATGAGTATAAGAAACTACAGAGAGCTCCCTGCCCCGTCCACCAAGTAAGGACAAAGTTAGAAGACAGCTGTATATGAGTCAGAAGTGTCTCAGCAGACACTGGATCTGGTGGTGCCTTGATCTTAGACTTTCCAGCCTCCAGAACTGACTGTGAGAAGTAAATGTCTGTTGTTTATAAGCCATCCAGTGTATGGCCTTTTGTCACAGCAGCCCGAGTTGATTAAGACATTCTCCAACCTGTATGTTTATATGCAGACATTCTTCCAGGGCCTGTGGAACACATCCACATGGACCATGCTGCTGGTCCTCTAAACTCAGCATGTTCCAAACCAAGTAGATGCAATGCCACTGAAAACCTGCTCCCCTGTCTCTATTAATGGCACCATTTTCCCAGCCCCCTTATCTGAAAACTTGATGCTATTAGAAGACAGTTCCCTGAGTTAGATGGGGAGGGCTGTCCCCTCCTTGGCTCTTGTCAATCTCGTAAGATTTCAGATGGGCGACAGCAGCATTGTAGCAAAGCAAGCAGATTTGTTTTTTTAATTTTTATTTTTTTATATATTTTATTGATTTTTACAGAGAGGAAGGGAGAGGGATAGAGAGTTAGAAACATCAATGAGAGAGAAACATTGATCAGCTGCCTCCTGCACAGCCCCCACTGGGGATGTGCCCACAACCAAGGTACATGCCCTTGACCAGAATCGAACCTGGGACCCTTCAGTCCGCAGGCTGATGCTCTATCCACTGAGCCAAACCGGTTAGGGCTGCAAGCAGATTTATTAAGGTAGCAAAGCAAGCAAATTTATTAAAAATACACTTGGCATATAGCATAAGTGGGCACCCAGCTAGTCTGAGTGCCCTGCCTGGTGGAAGTTTAAGGGTTTTATACTTTTCTGTCTACAGGTTTAAAGTTGCCAGATATCTCAGGCAACAGACCAGATTTCAAGGTCCCCCTTTTACTTTGTTGTGGCTTTTTCCAGAATTTATGGTAACATCTGGCAATTTTATCTGGGCAAGTTCCAAGACTGCTTACTTCTTAGTTCACTGGGTGAGTTAAAACTCTCCCTCTTCCCCTCCTCCCCGCTTTCCCATAGTCTCTGGTTAGGGAGGAGAGATATAAACCATTTGCTCTCAAGTGTCCTTGGTTGGGGAAGATAAGGTCGTGACTCACAAGTTAGCTGCAAGCTGCCCAAACTGTTTGGCCTTGTTTCATTTTCTTGTCTCAGTTTCCCCTTCCACGTGCCCAGGAATTTTCCTAGCTTCTTACTATCCTGCCCCATTCCCTGCTCAGAGACTTCCATTGCTAAAGTCTTTTAGGGTTGATGAAGGAGGATGGTCTTTTTTTCTGCAACCGTTTCATGCTGACAATGGCCATAGTCCCTGACTGTGTCGGTGTGGAAGTCTTTCGCTTCCTGAGCTAAGGGAGACCAGGGCATGGGCTCTGAGACTGGAACACAGAGGCCGTTGACTAATTCTTCTAAAGTGGGGGTGAGCTGGAATTCTTGAAGTGTCATCATCTTGTGTCAAATTACTGTTTTCTGGAAGTGACACATTTGACAAGAAGGTTAGTGGAGGGAAGTCAATTATATTAAAGCCCAGTCATGACTTTACTTCTCTGTAACAGGCTTTTGTTTCTTGATGAGGAGCTTGAGGTCCTCAGTAGGTTCACAAGAGTAGGTCTCAGGTTGAGATTCCTGTAGGGACTCACAGGAAATAGATTACACTTGAGATAAATGGACCCCACTGGGTATCCCCGGGAGCTTTACTATAATTGGGGTGCTTACTAGGACTTGATGTGGCCCTTCCATCTGGGATAGAGTTGGGATTCAGGGCAGTTGTTTCCTCTTTTTTTAAAAAATATTTTATTGATTTTTTACAGAGAAGAAGGGAGAGGGATAGAGAGTTAGAAACATCGATGACAGCGATCGATCAGCTGCCTCCTGCACACCCCCCAGTGGGGATGTGCCTGCAACCAAGGTACATGCCCTTGACTGGAATTGAACCTGGGACCCTTGAGTCCTCAGGCCGAAGCTCTATCCACTGAGCCAAACCGGTTTGGCCAGTTGTTTCCTCTTGCCTTCTCCTGGCCCCCTGGTTTAGCTTGTTGGTAGTCTTTATCGGGGCAGGTAGAATTTTGTTTCCATATACCTGTAATGCTTTCTGTACTGTCCTAGATTAATGGTGTAAGTCTTACATTGTAAGATAACAGAACATACATAACGTCTTTGTAACTGGACAATGGGTCCGCGCTGCCTGTCACTACTTGAGCCAATTAAGCAGAGACAGGGTTGAATAATATATGAGCATTTATTCCAATACTGCCTGCAGTATGGGAGAGCAGCAGGTCATCCACAAAAATCTGCTCTGCAGCCTCCATAAGCCAGCTGCTTATATAGGGTAAAACAAAGATTGCATGGGGAAGTAGGGATTGCAGACCTGGGAAAGTAGGCTATACAGGCTGGGGTGGGCCCCATTGTTTGGGCAACAAGGTTGTTAATCTTTCCATGATAATAGTTCTTGAATGAGAATGGACCAAATTCAAAGATTGACTCCCAGGTCCATGCCCTAGCTGGTTTTTGCTCGGTGGATACAGCGTAGGCCTGAGGACTGAAGGGTCAGGCTCAATTCCAATCTAGGGCACATGCCTGGGTTGCAGGCTCGATCCTCAGTGTGGGGCATGCAGGAGGCAGCCAATCAATGATTATCTCTCATCATTGATGTTTCCATCTCTCCCCCCGCACCCCCCCCCCCGGCTTCCTCTCTGAAATCAATAAAAAAAAATTTTTTTTTAAAGAAAAAAGATACGCTGCTGTAAAAAAGAAGGAATTCTTA